CTCTGATATATATCGATCGATCCAGATGCACTGGGATGGGATGGTTTAAATATATTCCTGATAAAGCTTTGGCCTTGCATGATGCACTGGGATGGTTTAAATTCCTGATAAAGTTTTGGCCTTGCATGATTGAATGTTCAAAACCCCAATCCCTAGCTAGTTGCATGGCTGATATGTATCTTGTGTTGTTTTCCCCTGCCTCAAGAACACGCGCGCGCGTTGTTGGTTTGTTGTTATTATTGCTCCTGTTTGATTGATTTATAGCGGGTTCAAACTAGGAGTGCAGAGTAGTACGGTTATATATAATCAGCGGGCCCATACGGAAAGAAAATAGGTAGAGAAATGGGGAGGGAGAAATAGATCATTCTTTTTTCGCTCTTAGATCATTTCGCAACATAATATGATGCTAGCCCGTGTAATACACACACCTTGTTTGAAGTGAGAGTAACATTAATTATATTGTGTTTTTATTTGATATGGACTTCTGGACTACATTCTTTTTCTTACATGATTGTTTGATTATATTTTTACACATGTCATGCCATTTTTTTCTTGTGAGACCTCTATCCAAATCTGATGTAGTACGACTTGTTGTTTACTTTCCACTGATTTCTTCTCTGGATTACCTATTTTATTCTTCGTGTGTGTTTAGTTCACGCCAAAATTTGAAGTTTAGTTCAAATTGGAACGATGTGATGGAAAAGTTGTAAGTTTGTGTGTGTAGGAAAGTTTTGATGTGATGGAAAAGTTGGAAGTCTGAAGAAAAAGTTTGGAACTAAACTCGGCCTTCATTCTTTCATTACTAACTTAGTCATGCACGTGCAATACACGTTTTCCACAAAATATATCAGTGCATTGAAATTTTGAAAATTATTATCTGCTAAAATTAACCTCTTTAACCCAAATTTATAAAATATATACCCCTTTGTAACTGGAAAAACAAAATTAACCAACATTATCGGTACTTGGTATTCACTTAGGACTTCATCAACATAAACTTCCATGTACTGATCTTAGGCATATTACTAGTATACGAACCACAGCCAATTGAAGTAAAATATTCACATTTGCTGGACCTTGAAATGGGAGAAGCACATAGATTATACATACTTCAAATTTTTTTGTGTGGTTGTATATGCCATCCTAACAAATTCAGGTTTGAATCAATTAAATAGCATGATATCTTTGCTTCTTATTGTTGCATAGTTTGAATAGATTAAATAACACAATATCTTTGTTGAGAGACATTCTATAACTAAACTAAAAAACAATCTCTGCTTTTTTTTCCGTGCTACAAATAACGTGCAAAATAAAGCCCTATGAATAAACAATGTGCAATTATTGGAGCGGAGAACAGTGAGGATGGATGGCCTAGGCGGCGAGTAGGGCAACAGCGGGCAACGAGGAGGATAGTTGTGTGGGCTGGCGGACGGGGTTGCATGGCGACGATCTCTTGGTCGTCAAGAGAGCGTGTCGAGGGAGCCAAGGGAACTTGGAGGAGGAGGGAGCTTGGAGGGCGTGATGATGGCAGGGTAAAACAGTCTTAGGGTCTGTTTGGTAGAATTCCAACGCCTGGATCCTAACTCCTAACTCCAACTCCAGTAGGAGCTAACTCCTATAGGATCTGAGAATGATCTAAAAGTGTTTGGTTAGATTGATCAGTTCCAAAACTCTTAAAAGAGAGAAGGGAGGAAAGATGGACAATACTGCCCATGGCTTCTTATATCTGATAATTTCATGTTTATTTATATATGATAATTCATGTTTGTGATAGAATCACCCACATGCATGCAAAATCACTATTTCTCTTCCAGATCTGAAATTGAAAAAAAAAAGGAAAAATGCAAAAACACCGGCCGTGCGCCGCCCGCTCGCGCCAGAGAGCCGCCGCCCGCGCTTCGCCCACTCGTGTCGAAGGGCCGCCGTCTGCTCGTTCCAGAGGTTCACGGCCCGCACGCCACCCGCCTGCGTGTCGTCAGCCCACTCGCGCCGGAGGTCCCGTTGTCCGCCCGTGTGCGCCGGAGGGCCGCCGCCGTCGCCCTCGTGCCGCCTACCCGCACCGGATTTGGGAGAGGTGAGGGTTACAGGAAAGAGAGAGAGGGGTAAGGAGGTGGGTTTGAGGTCGTTCAATGACATTTTTTGCGTAAATACCTTAAAAATTAAAGGGTAATGTGTGTTTTGGGGTGGAGTGGAGAGATGGAGCAGCAAAAACCCAGCTCCACCCCCATAGTACAATTTTGTGGAGCAACTCTGCTAGCTCCGCTCCAAAAAATGAAGGATCTAGACCGTTTGACACGGCTTCTTCTCTAGGTAAGTTGGAGTTGGGAGGTAGAGCTGTGCCAAACAGGTCCTTATAATGTGTTTGCGAGGGTCCAGGGGATAGGATCGGATCGAGTGAGTTCACTTGTTGGATTGCATGGCACATGGTGGAGCTTGAAATCTGGACCATTGGATGACATGGTTGAAAATGACTAAGGATAGCATGTATACACTTCTCCTGGGTGAAGCTAGCAAAGAGTATGACCGGTGCTTTTCATATTGGAATAGAAATAGAAAAATACAAATAAATAGCTGGTTTTTAATGTTTGACTTATTTTGTATCTCAATGTTATATACTTATATCTACCATTAGTTCCTTAAAATTGTTTGGTTAGGCAGTTAAGGCTTGTTACGCTACCTTTTCAATCTACCATACTCTGTTTATTGATGGACTAAACTGCTATTTATATGTGCATCATCAATTAGGAACTCTTTTAATTGCCATTTTTAAATTTTTATGTTTAACTATTTGCCATCCATATGTCAATTACATGTGGGCCCTCGTATATCTGACACGTGGGTCTAGCTAGTGGCTAATAGTTAAATATCTCTAGTATGATGTACTCTGTGATGCATGCCCCTTTTTTTTACTTCTTTTGTATCCATTCATGTATAATTGGTGAATTTGTGAATACAGGGTCTTCTTCTCGAATGCCACAAATTGGGCTTCAACTTTCTATGATTGCTTTACCCCGCTAACACTGTGGTTAGAGGGGATTTACTCTGGAATCGTTCTGCTCCTCTTCGTGCTCTTTATTGGAAATCTGGATGAAAACTGGGGCCGCATAATGATAGAGTTTTCTGGGGTGGCCATACAGATGGCTGGAATATTTTGCTTTGTGATGATAAAGGTGTCACGTGATGACAATTACACGATGAAAGAAGCTCAAAAACAGGTATGGATAAGGGTTCAAGAATTCTGTTATTTCACACTTATAAGAAACATGAGATTCATTGAAAAAAAATCTCCTATGCAGAGTATCATGGCCCTTGTCATCTTCAAGATTTTCTCTTTTATTATCCTTACGTTCATCAAGGCTAAGTTGGTGCCCACAGAAGATAACGTCGTGATCCCAAGAGCATTTGCTGCCATAGGTTGTCTGATCCAATTTGTGCTAATGTTGAGTTCGCCTATCGGCCGTTGGGTAGGTGATGGCTTTCTCTCATTTAAACTCTATATGTGGTTGTTGAATAAGCTTTGTTCTTATTTAGTCTTTCTTCCTTTTCAGTTGGACAACAATTTTAATGATGATGAGCCTACCACCCGCAAGATCAAGTTGTCGGCAGCTCTGATCAGGCTAATCACGCTATCATTCGACTGCTGGCTTTTCACTGTAAGAGGATACTGGAGCTCGCCACTGAAGAAGCCATTGGCGGTAAGTGATTCAAGGTTTTAACCCCTCTAGATTCTGCCAAGAATGGTTCAAGTTATTATTTGTTCAAGTTTAAAAGTTAGGGTGAAAAACAATTAGTTTTGTCGTTGAGGGTGAAAATGGACTTCCAGCAATTCAAGGGAGATAATGGAATCTACTAAAAGAATGGATAAGTCCTTTTTTTACTAGTTCTATTGTTACCACTTCAACTTTACTCGATGTCTATTTGTCACCTACACTTATAAAACTAGACAAACTTCATCTTAATTATGATTGTTTCTATTGTTAGCTTTTGCCCTATAAAGAATCACACTATTATTTTTATGCTATATATGTTGCTAACTTGCATTTTTCCCGCACATCATGTGCTTAACATATCTTTACTCCTCACATCCCTTCACTGTATTATGCGATAGAATGATGGGAGAAATGTGTGGCATGTAGAGTCACTGCCATTTTTCTAATGTTTGGGGTGAAAATTTTACTTGGAACAAAATTAAGGGTCATATATAAATGTATTTATCCTAGTATTTCTAATGTGTGCATGCAGGAAATGACAGCAACCAACTTGGTCTTTACCAGCATTGTGGTGGTCTGTCGTTACATAGGCCCCAACAAGCTCAGGAACTTTTGTGTTGATATTTGGAATTGGCTTCGGGCTGTCCCGGAAAAGCTTCAAGGCAAGTGGAATAGCTTCATACAGTGGAAGACCGACAACTGGACTCCATTCACGAATACAGTGAAGGTAGCATTACAGAGTTTCTGTACTGGCTGTTGCGCTATGTTTCAAACTGGGTGGAATGCATTGAAGAACAGGGTGAGTCAATGCATTGAGGACATGTGGAATATACTGGCTGGTCCGGGTGGAATGCATTGAACATCAAGATGAGTCAATGGGTTGAGCTGTGTTACTTCAGCAGTAAAGCAGAGTACAATATGCACGATTTTGTTAATCGATCTTTACTTATACAAAGTTTGTTGATCTTTACTTACTAGCTGGGTTACTTCAGCAGCCGGAGGCTGTGTTCGGACTTTTTTTTGTTGAGTGATTAGATTTTGTTGAATGTATTCTCTTCCACTATGACTTCCCCGGCTGTATTCATATAGCGTTTATGCCAACTGTATATAGTCACTAGGTCAGATATATTAATATATAGTGACACGTTTGAGTGGGGACGTATCTAATGTAATTTCTGCTTCCATTTTCCCGAACTATAGAAAGCATGTTTCTACTTACTACTTCCAATATTCTGATATTGTTCTTGTTTCCGGCATCAGAATGATTCTGGTTTGAAAAGGTTTAAGAAATGCTTGGAACAGTTTTCTTTCTTTTCTCGATGCTGGTCGATTACATGCCAAAACAGAAATGACGATCCATGTCCACAATGCTCAGACCGAATAAATCCACATGCTTTGATATGGGAAATGGTGGCTTTTATTACAAGTCATGAAACCCAAACAGTCACAATAGACACAATTAACTCATTCAGTTTCAAGTGCGAACAAGGTTACGCAAATAGAACAAGTCACTGATCCAAAAGTAGCAGCCGGTCATCATTTGAGCTTCTCAAGGAGTTTCGGTGCTACCTGCAGATGCACCCCACAGAAAATATGTTATTAACCTAGCTTATATATGCAGAGCTTCTCCATAAATCATTTGTTTGGTTCCAGATATGCGATATTGCACACACACATGCAGATACTTACACATTTGTCAATGCATGACCAATAGTCGAAATATTGCCCAGTGCAGTGTTTATGCCCAGTATCATCCTTCTCCACTCTCTTGACGCACTTCTGCAAACCATACAAACACCATTAGGATTTAAGCGTTGAATTCATCATAGCGCATATCATTGCTAAGTCGTCGCGATATTATGAGCCTAGGGTGAAAGGGAACATCATGATGGCTGGCAACTCGAAATTTAGCATAGAAGATTACTACAACACAATATCAAAGAAAATTGAACATATATCTGGTTTTAAGCTTGTACATCATAAGGGTATTTGTGAATCGTGACATTCAGTTAAACCTATAAGAGTTATGTTTGGACATCACTAATGTCGAAATCGCAAAAAAAAAATATTGTAAATTTTAAGAACCTACAGTCTACTTATTAAACTTACATAAATATTAGAACATTTGACCAGAAAATGGTATGCGGATCAATGTAAAGAACAGTAAAGCCTCCTCGGCTGTTCCCACCAAGGATAAGTCTAATGTTACTATGTTATCCAATGTGGTGTTGCATATATGGGGGAAACCTTTGAATTGTCTTAGAAGTCATGTGTTCCCAATTCCCATTGAGAAGTGATGAAAAACATTTTTGTCCCCATAGCTTGGGTATTTTTTTAAGATAAATGGAAGCAAAGAAGTAATCCATGTTTAAGCTTGGTCAGTTACACTATCACAATGTCATTACTGTTGAGCATTGCATCAGATAAAAGCTTTTCTATAGTCCTGCCAACTTACATGAGCTAAACTTAATCAACCATACAGCAAATAGTGATGCCATAATGAACACTTCCATCAAGTGAAGCATGTGCCCACTGCCCAAAAGAAACTCATGATAATAAAGCCCCAAAGAAGAAAATTAGCAAGCACAGACGCACCTCATACTCATAGAGTGGCTTTACGCACTGGGGCTTGCAGCGCTCCTCAAGGTACTTCTTTGGATCAACAGGTTCTTCATCCGCCCTAAGGTAAAACAACATTAGAAAACCATAGAAGTTGAGAACTTAAGGTTAAAAACAGACATTTGCATAACATTTTGAGAACATTAGATCTTTCTGGTATAAATAGCATTTCAATTCAGACTTTGTAATTTCAGAGAATTCCACATTAGCTGGTAAGCAGGTTGATACTCCAAACTGGAGGATCTCTACGGGGCATGCCAAAAGCAAACAGGAGATGCAGATTTAAAATGAACCCCCCAGCTACCAATTAAAGCTAATCTGAACTTTACAAATAATGCCTCACAATGAGATGCAGATGGATATAATACAGTGCCATCTCAGAGTCAGATGGCTAGTAAACGGAGTGTTGCATTTTGTCTCATTCCAGATTAGTTCTTATCTCCTGACTATCTCTAGAATTTTGGAACAGCATTCTTCGATCAGTCTCCAAGGATTGAACGCACAGCAGGTGTTATGCGGTTGAAAGAAAAGAAACTAAGACCCTCCCAACTAAATATAAGATGAAGTTTAAGACAAAAGCTTCTTAATCCTTTAGTCAAATAGAGCGCCTCGCATCAAGATTTCACACAAGCATACAGGGTATGCATCGCAATGCATCATCGTTAAGCAAATGTGATTGGAGCATGCCACTCTGTAAATGTGATCGGAGCAAGTTGAACAGCACATCTACACTAGCAAAATACCAGCTTCCAATTTCCAAAGAGAAACTAAGCATCATTGCGTCTACCATAAACCAAGAACTGGAAATCTATATGCTCCGCAATCTCATTCATGTCAAACCAAGCAAGAACATGACCCATTCTACCATAACCAAGCAACGCATTTTTCCCTCTTGCCATTTCTCGATTTAAGGCGTAGCCAACCAGCTCCACAGACCAAATAGGCCATGCCCGACCTCGCTAAAATCCTAGTAAGAAACCCAGATCTACAACTATCTCAGTGTAGCTCGTACCAACAAGCAAAAATCGAACCTACCCCGAGATAGACAACACAGACAGATATACATTCACACGGATGGCAAGAAACAGCGCGCAACGAGATCGAGAAGCTGCTCGAGCGAAGAGGAGGCAGAGAAGAAGGCGCGGAGGAGGAGTACCCACATGGCGATCGACGGATCCGGGGTGGCTGGCGGGCGGGGTCTCCTCCTCCTCGCGATCGAGAATGGGAGGAGGAATGGATCTGACTCCGATGGTAGCAGAGTCCGTGTGGGAATTGGATGATTAGGGTTGCGAGTTGCGACTTTTGCGAGTGGAAATTTGGGGGAAGACGAGGACTTTAGGCACGTGGTGTTTCTAGATGGGCTGAATTGGGCTCCACGTTTTTTGGGCTTTTGGCCCATGAGAATGTGAACTCGGGAGGCTGGGCCGCTCGGCCTTTTTTTTTTTTTTACTTAAAATCTGCCTAATAATGGCAATTAGCAAAATCGATTAAACACCGTCGATGAAACAGCGCCGCCCCCAGCTACTTCCTTCCCGTCGCCGCCGCCTCCGCCGCCGCCGCCGCATATCGCCATCCAAACCCTAATCCAAGCTCGCCTCTCGATCGTCAGTGGGAGCGAGCAGGGCAGGCCGACCCCCGCCGACATGGGAATCGACGACGAGATGAGCCTAGCGGATGACACACCCACCGACATGGACATCGACGGCGTCGCAGAAGACGTCGTCCGCAAGACAGTTGACGCTGACATCCCCGCCATGGAGATCCTCGGAGACACCGCCGGAGAGGTGAAGGAGAAGGTCCTATCAACCGAGAGCGAGAAACCAGCTCCCCCTCTCTCTCGGAGGGAGCGGATAGCCCTCCTCCCTCCCAACCACCCCTACCACTACACCTGCGGCCTTCCAAACTTCGTCTTCTTCGCCATGGCCATGGTTTCTTTCCTCTACGCGGTGATCGTCCCATTTCTGCTGTGGCGTGCCGCCGCCGACAAGCCAACATCGCTCATCTGGACATGGTCGATTCTCGCGTGCTCGTACGGGATATTCTGGATCATCTCCCTGTCAGAGGTTCTAGGTGTAATTGTTGTCTTCTTCCGCGTTTCCTATGTCGCCTTTGTGGCCGCCGCCTCCACCCAGCTGGTTGGTTCCATCACCGGCGTCTCGATCGTGTACCTCGACACCTTCTACGTCGCCGGGATGGTCGGCTACGCCGTCGCGGAGTACCGGATGCGCCGTGGCATCGAGGAGTGTCCCAGTGCTGTTGCTGCGATGCCTCCGTTGATCAGCCAAGAGCAGGAGCGCAACCGCGAGGTCAATGTGTTCTACGCCGCGTTCATGTTCGGCTTGGTGTCTCTGGTCACCGTCGGGCGGATGGCGTGGCTCGTCTTCTTCTCCAACGGCGGCGGCGGCGGCGGCGGAAGGATCTCCTCCGTGCTCGAGGAGCTCTCGGTGGAGACATGCTTCGTCTCCTTCCAGTGGACTGCATTCGTGGCGCTCCCTCTGTCGCTGGTGTCCTTCAACGCCTTGTTCTGCTGGGTGCCCATTTGCTATGTCGCATGGTATGTTCTGGGCGCGATACTTGGCGCGCTCGTGGGATCAGTCGCCATTGAGGTGCTCTTCTTCTGGCTCGCTGCTGTCGCCATGGCTGGATTCTTCGGCTACTGTCTCGCTGTCCACGCACGCTGCAAAAGGTAATTAACACTCGTAATTTGTTCATCGCTTGCAAGATGATTTTGATTTCTATACACGCTCAACCTGTTCTTGGCAAGATGAATTTTACTTTCATGTACGTTCACAAAGTTCACTAGTATGTACGGGCTGTTTCTGGCAAGCCCAATGTATTAAGTGCCATTTTGGTTTTTAGTAGCGTAGAGTTGTTCATATATTTGGTTATTACAAGCTATCAATTAGGTGCCAAATTCATGTAGGGTAATAGAAATGTTTTGGATGGTTACAAAATTTAACTTGGACATATATAGCCAATGATTTGGCTGGAACAAAAACATGTATATATAGTTTATCTGGAAACCGATGCGGCAATGGTAAAATTAACAAGCAGCGATTTCTATAGATTATGATCTCTTCATCTGTGGCTGCTTAGCACTGGAACTGAAACATTTGTTGGCGTCGAACTTTATCAATTTTCAGGTTATTAGCCATATGCCTAGAGAATGTAATAGAGTTGCTCATGTGTTAGCTCAGCTTAATTGGGTCTGTTTGCTCGGTGCAGTCTGAACCTGTACTACTGGTTGATAGTCCAGTTTGTATCAATCGTTTCGAATATCTTGGATCATGAGTAATTAATTTTCCGGTTTAAAAGAAAGTCATTTGGCAGCTCACATTTTGATATAAAATCAAAACGCCCCTAATTTAAGCATTAAACCAATCTAGTTGTGATCTCCTATGGAGTTAATTACTATGTGAATAAATATTGTAGATTGCATTCTTTTTGTTCTTTGAAACATTGATATAATGCTCTCTACCATCAAAACAGGAATCAGAAGACACCAGCCTAGAGCATGTCGCCGTGGGAGCATGAGAGGAGACAAGCCAGGCGTACCAGTACTCTTAATCGGAGTTCAGACTAGCTTCATCCTGATGAGTTGGCATATGTCCCAAACTTAGCTTATTATAGCCTTAAATTCCAGTACCTGTCATATTCTGCAAGTATGATCTGAAGTTTGTTCATGCCTGCCTCAACAATACCTTTCAAATTCCTTGATAAGTGACTTGATTTGTGATCTGGCATCCCTCCTCTTCCTCACGGTATAGTGCATTCTTGTGAACTGGTGATAGAATTGAGGAGCTGTGATGTCTAATGGACTCCTTGTGAACTGGTGATAGAATGCTGATGTTTAGTGGTTTCCTTTTAAACTAGTTAATTTTTGATCAACTGGTTCTAGAATGCTGGTATGACTAATTAAGTAGCTGGGCCTCATGTGTTAGTGTGTGTATTTATGCTTCCTTGCGTATGACATTGAAGTGACTGGATCATGTTATTACACGGGAAGTTATGCTTGAATATACTTATGTTAATGAAATATGGCGCCCCGTTCCTACATGGAGCTACCCGGTGCACCGGACACCATGTAGCTTGTCCATTTCTACATGTATTGGGCTATGTTAATTATGGTTTTACTCATTAGTTAGCTTATTAAGTACGTAATGGAACCTTGGTAATTAATACTCCCTCCGTTTCAAAATGTTTGACACCGTTGACTTTTTAGCACATGTTTGACCGTTCGTCTTATCCAAAAAAATTGTGAAATATGTAAAAATATACGTGTACATGAACAATGAATCAAATGATATGAAAAGAATAAATATTTACTTAAATTTTTTTAATAAGACGAATGGTCAAACACGTACTAAAAAGTCAACGGTGTCAAACATTTTGAAACGGATGGAGTATTTGTTTTGGGTTCGCTATCGAAGAGGATATTGACTTGTATCGGGTGGATCAATATGAATTTGTGTTGCTGATCTGTTTCTTGATGTTTAGTGGCTACCGTGATCGAGGCATCAACCTTTATTTTAGAATTTTCAAGAACTGAAAAACATGAGATATCATTGCATTATGAAGGAATGTGTTTACTAAGCATGTGCACGACCACAGTTTTTACCATGGATTTTTACCCTTTTTGTCTATCATGCATATTGTGTGATGTCTTGATGTAAACTCGAGAAGCACCCGTCTGTCTCACATCAATTTGGATAATTTTCATTCATGTTCTGTACAAATTGTGTTATATATGCTCGTGTTGCGAGTCATTGTTAACCAATGTGCTCGCTTCCGTGAAATTCAAAGTTGTATCCATCAGATTCAGAAAATAATCAACCCGGTCGCTGTTGCCAATGACCAGAACAACTTTCAGAATCTGGCTTGAACTCGGATCAGAATTGTAACATGTATTTCTCTTGTTTTTTAGATAATGGACATAAATCCGGCTTCTTTATCTATGAATGGATATACACAGCAACGTATTTCTCTTGTTATACTCGTAACTCGTTGAATATATTGGCATATATATGGTAACCTTTGATGGCATGCACTGAAGGTACATGCATCTTGATAGGATCAGTGTTTAGTGGTAGCAAAGGTAAACACACACCTAACAAAAGGGCTTGTGCAGATGCAAGTACAAGTGAAATCACAAAACCAACACAACTTATTCTCATATATCATTAGCCACCGACAATAATAAACAGGGCTGTAAAGTAACCCGGTAACAATCTACGAGGAAACATCAAACATATGTATATATACTCCATTCGTACCAAAATATAAGCATTTTTAGATTCTGATACGTCTCCGAAATGCTACTTTGGCCAACAATATCTATAAAAATAAGATTTTTAAATAAAATGAGTTACATATTATGATAGGTTGTTTAATGTTAATATCAATTTTACATGATTTATATTTTTTGCTATTAATAGTCAAAGTTGAAAATATTTAACTTGTCATTATGCTAAAAATGTTTATATTTTGAAACGGAGGGGGAGTACTGAATATTATCGTGGTATCTACTCCGCTAGGATGATCCTTGGCAACACGTCATGCTCTGTTCAAGTCCATGCCAGGGAACCATTGGTTAGTGGTACCTGCACCAGCAAATGAACAAGCTAAACGCAAGAAGACTATATATATTTTTAGCTCAGTATTGACGATAAAAATTGGCACGAGATTAAATTCAAAATAAATTTATTTTGAACTTAGGAAAGATCGTAGCCGCTGTGTAAAGATCGGCAAGACCACTATTCATGTTACGGTCCTATTGGATATTAGATGATCTAATTGTGCTTTATTGGCCGGTCTGATCAGAGACAAATGTTAATTTGGCCGACGACTATCGAAAATTGGTTATATTTTCTCTTGCTTGGGGCCAGATTTCTAAGTCTAATAGAATATGAAAACGGCTCTATTTCTGTAAGACTAGCTCCTCCTTCCTTCGTACTCCCTAAACTTACATGGATGTTTCATTTATATCTCTAAACTCTCAAAATTTTTTGGATCCTCAAACTTGTCATATGTATCATATAGGTCCAAACGGATTCCAACCTGCTTCATGAGATAACGTGGCATGCCACAGTAACACTTACATGTAAGTGAGATTCACATGTCAGTCATATAGGAGATAATTAAATTTAAAAAGAGAGGGGAACGGGGGAGGGGAGAAAATGGTGTTTTTAATTTTGAAAAAATAAATGAAAAAAGAGAGGAGAAAAATTATATTCTTAATTTTTTCTATATGTGCTGGCATATGTGTTCTACTGACACGTAGGCGTCATCATGACATGCCACGTCAGCACATGGAGCGGGTTGAAACCCGTTTGGATCTATATGACACCCGAGACAAGTTGAGGGATCCAAAAATTCATTTCGAAAGTTAAAAGGACCTCGGTGACACACCCACACAATTTTAGAGACCACCTCATGCACTTTCCTCTTGATTTAATTGAGACATCACATATCAACATTGATCAATCTATCATTACCTTCTGTTTAGATGTAGTCCAATAATGTACTAGATCTTTCATCAGTTTTGTCGGTTTACGCTGTATTCTGTATATCCGTACTACGAGATTTGGTCAAAAGTTGAAACCTTAACCGGATTTTATCCTAAACATCAAAAATCAAGTTTAGTTTTTTCCTCTAGTTCAAATGGACTTACTTATAATCAAAGGTTTTACGCTTCAAGAAAAAAATAATCGAGGGTTTATAGTGGTTTAGGCGGTTTGAACTCCAAGATCAAATCAGTGTAAAAACCCGAGAAAAAGTCAGACGTGTGCACCACCCATCTATCCACCGTCCAAGCCAGATCCAACGGCCCACATCCGATCCCCTCCTCCTCCTCCCCCCCACCGTGTGCGCGCAACTGCGCAAGGGCGCACAAGCCCCTCTCCTTCCTTCCTCCTCCCCCCCTCTCGCCGGAGCTCCTCCGCCGTCTCCGCCGCCCCGCCCTCCTCCTCGCCGGCGGCGCTGCTCCCGCGCCCGTTCCAGCTCGCCCGCTCTAGCTTCGCGACCTAGGGCTTGCCTCCCCCAAGTGAAGGGCAGCACCGCCGCGGCCGCGTGGAGGGAGGGAGGAGGGGGGCGCGCGGAGGCGGAGGGGATCTTCGGGGGGTGGGGGAGGGGCGGCGTTGGTGTTGGGTTGGGGTGGAGCGGAATCCTGTGCTGGAGTGGATTGATGGAGGAGAGGAGGAGATTGGGAGGGGGACGAGCGGTGCGAACTAGATAAGTGGTTCGGAATCGGATCCTCCTCCTCGCTGAGTGTGGGCGCAAGTCTACGAGTTCCCCGATCTCACCACGCGACGGCAACCGCGAGATTGGCTCCGGATAAGGTATTACTCGTTCTTCTTCTCCCTCCGCCACCGGCGTGGCGAAGATTGGAGACGCAGCTCGAATTAATAGCATAGTTTTTTTTCCCAAAGAAAGCAAAATTAGCTGAACCCAGATGCACCCACACTAGGTGTTTGATACCATGGCTGCTGCCGCGGAGCCACCCATGGTGGAGCAAGTGATCACCGAGTTTTTCGCCAAGAGCCTCCACATCATACTGGAGTCGCGCTCTCCGTACGAGTCGTCGCGCAACTTCACGCGGCCCTCGCCACCGTCCTCGCCGCTGTCCGGGAGCCAGCCACGCGACCGGTGGTTCAACCTTGCGCTCCGGGACTGCCCGGCTGTGCTCGAGAACTTTGACCTGTGGCGGCAGAGCAACCTTGAGCCGTTGGTCATTGACATTGTCCTCTTATGCCGGGACAGCACCAGCAACACAGCTGCTGGGAGTGGGAAGATAATAGAGAGGTGGGTGATACAGTATGAAGCTCGCAAGTCTGGCGGTGGCAATGGTAATGGCAGCAAGAACAATGGCAGGAAGTCTAGGAACAGCTCGGCTGAGGATCATAGCTTGTACAGGGCTACCTACCAGGGATCGACAGTGTTACTCCGGTCATTGCATCTGCTCGTCAGGCTCTTGCCAGCATACAGTCTCTTCAGGGAACTGAACTCATCTGGGAGAATCCGTCCTCTCAACCTGTCACACAAGATATCTTCATTTGTTGAGCCATTCACCCGGGCAGAGGATGCAGAGATGAAACACTATGCATTTGCTCCAATTGAAACTCTGTTTGGCCGATTGAGCTTGTCAGTTTCTTATGTGCCAGTGTTGGAGGTGGTGGCAGCTTCAGAACCTACATCACCAATGCCACCAGAGATCATAACGGATTACGTTGGGAGCCCCACAACTGACTTTCTAAAGAAATTCAATTCCCTCCCTTCAGCTGGCATTGCACCTGCATGTGCTGCAATGACCAGGAGGCACAGTTGGAGTATTGAGCATGGAGCTGGAACGTCAGTGTCGCCATCTCCTTCTCCCACTAAGGCACAATCCCGTGGAAGCCCACAGCTAGGCGTTCCTCTGCATGTTTCTCTAAAAACATGCTCACATCCACAAAATGCATCATCCTCTGGGCAGAAGAAATATACACCATTTGAAGAATGCTATCCATCACCACCATTGTCACCATCACCATCCCAATCCCCTTCAGCTAACTACCCTAAAAACCCTTTGTTCCGATATGAGAGTGCACCAGTTACTATTCCCACATTGAAGTCAGGCGGAGGAGGAGGTAGCGGGTTGCCTCCTTCTCCATGTTCGAAGGGTAAGCACCAGTTCTCATCTCACAATGACAACCTGGCACATTCCCCTGATCATAACTCAAATGTAAGGAAGGATCTAGTCAGGTTGGGTGAATTTGAAAAGGACATGGCCTTGCAAAAGGTAATTGATATCTGTTATTTGTTCAAGCAACATGTGAAATTTGCAATGAGCCAATAACAATAATTTTATTATGAGATTCCTACCCTAGGATAATTGGATCTGATTTTTGGCTGATGATTTTCTTGTTCTGCTTTCTGCCCTAGGTATTATCTTACAGTAAATATGATTTGGGATACTTTCATGGACTGAAATTGACTCGGACATCAAGTAAACTTTTTATTATGGATGAACTGGATGAACATGAATTGGTTTTTGCATGGGAAGATAGAGACACCATAATTGATCAGCTTAACAGGTATTCTTTCCTAGTCACCTAATTGAAATAGTATGTAGTTTGTGAGACTATGCCTGACACCTGAGTATTTCCAGAATGATGCCCTTAATATGCACATGCTCCAAGAAAGGGTTATTTAATTTCAGGCAATGCAGAAATGTGTTCTATGTAGTTTTCTTCAAATTAAAGACGGTTATGCTATATTTTTGTAATGCTCATTAAGGCCTGTGAACCTTATTGTTGCATTTGATTATAGTTAAAAATTTATTCATTAATTCAAAGTGGGCTCTTCTTAATGAGAACTGAAGAGGCACTATGCTTGCTTCAAGATTCTAGATTAGATGCTCAATAGTCACATAATTTCTTGTCTCAATGTTACCTGAACCAGAAAAAAAAATCTATTTCTCATACTAATTGGCAATATAATGTTTCTTCCTTTATTGTACTCTTGAACTACTATTCATTAATTTATGTTATTCCTTAGTTTCTTATTTCCGACATTTGCTTAATTTTATATTTTTCCTGTTCACGTGTATGTTCTGGTGACTAATGAGAATAGTAATTTACATTGAAAAATTAATATAAGAATATGAATTGCATTACAGGCTAGATTTCAATGTACAGTGCAAACTATGAACTGGAACCCAAACCAGAGTGGTTTTTTTAGGAAAGATAATTGATAGAAATGTACATCAATTTTAATATTTAGGCATGGAACTGAGATGATTTTGTAGATATAAATCAAATATTCAAAATGAAGGTCAGTTGTCTTAAAATCCTCTACTTGTTTCCTGCACCTAACTTATTTGCAGCTTACGGTCTTAATTCTACTAAACTGATATAGCTTCAACTGAGGAGCTGACAATCTCTAGCCTGTTACTTTATAATGTCACTGCACAAATTATCCTTTTATCATGTAATAATTATCTTAGCCCACCCTCCATTTACCCTGTACAGGACAATCTGTGTCTATTAACTACTTTTAGCTTTTTTTTATAACTATTTATCTACAATGTTCCAGAAATTGCAACTTATTCTAACTCAACAATCTAAAACAGGTCATCATAGCTTACCTCTTGAACCAGATACTTCAATATTCCTGTGCTAGCCTACTAATGTTAGGAATAAATTTATCAAATTACATATTTGATTGTATCCCATTATATCCAGCTATTATAAGGCTTAGCAATGAGCAAGATGGTGTTTTCTTTTTTAAAGAAGAGCATAATGGCCAGTACATGCTCAAAGAAATTTGGTAGTGAAAGAGTCTATATTGTGGATTTACTGCTTGTCTGATTTTTCAATTACCTTTTGGGGTCTATATAAGTCTTCGTATAAGCAAAACTGGAACCTCCTCAATTTTCCAGGGCTGATATCTCAGACAGGGAGGAACAGAAGAACCAAGATGCTGGTGGCTCGTCCACAAGGTCTCCAGCTGCAGCCATTGGTGCTCTTGTGCATCTGCTGAAGACTGCACCAAGCCTCAGAGAAGGCCTACAGTCAGATGCAGCTGCTGTGGTTCCTCAAGAACCTTCGTCAGTTCAGAAGGTCGTGACTGAGGAACATGGCAGCATCGCATCAAGTTCTACACCGGTGACGGCAACTGACGCCCTTGAGGAGCTGAAGAAATACAGGGAGGTTAAAGAATCAATACTAAATCGCGGCAAAACACAGGTCAGCGGCACCAATCTAGGAGAGAAACTCACAGATGGAGAACCTTAGCATATATAGTATGATGACGAAAGTTTTCGTTTTGTATATATTATATATGTAGCGCGCGTTAGCTGACTATCTATACCTTAAGCAAGCTAGTAGCTACTAGGATGTTACCAACTCTATATATATTTACGGGATGACATATATATCCATCCATGCAGCTGCTCTGAGATGATCTGAGGCTGTGGGATTTTGTAAAGCTGAAATGATTATCTGCAGCGCATGCAGGCAGTGAGATGCAATCAAATGGTTCAGTTCAACCATGTTGGTTCAGTAGAATTTCGTTGTTTCCATTCTGGTACAGTCTGACGTTTCCTTTTTTTCTGGCAAGAAATGAGATTATGGTGTGGAACAGTGGAAAATGTATGAATTTGCAATCTTCCTCTGTTTATTGGGGAGCATTCAGATCCATGGACAAACTTGGTAACCAGTTCATATCTGGTCTTCTTATGCAGAAGCAATTTTTACCTGTGAAATGCAAGAACGCATGTTGCATCACTAATCGGTAAGTCTCACCATGTTTAGCCGAAGCTTTTTTTTTTTTAAAAAAAAAACCGTGTCTCTATGCATTTGGATAATTTTACATCATGTCAACTTAATCATGATTCAGCTTCATCAAACGCCATGTGTTCTGAAGAGCTTCATGACGCCATAGGTGGCGGCCATGGCCAGCAACCCTCCGACCACGCCCTAAGCCCGGCCCGGCCACCGGGAGCCCGGCCCAGCCGCGCCCCTGCCGCGCCGAACGCCGCCAGCGCGAGGCTCGCCGTCGCGACGACCACCACCACCCTCACCCTGTAGGCGCCGGCGACGAACCACGCCGCGAGCAGCGGGAGCGCGGCGCCGGCGGCGAAGGACAGCGCCGAGGCGGCCGCGGCCTGGCCGGGGCGCGACACCGCCGCCGCCGCCGCGTGCAGTCCCAGGCCAGCCGGAGCCGGGCCGCCGCGGCGGCGCCGGCGTTCGAGGTCGGCGAGCTCGACGTCGAGCTGCACGTGGACGGAGACGTACTCGCCGATGGCCATGCTGCAGGCGCCGGCGACGAGGCCGGCCAGCCCGGACAGGAGGACGGCGCGCGCGTCGGCGGGGCGCGCCGCGCCGATGCCGAGCATGAGCGCCGCGGTGGAGACGAGGCCGTCGCTGGCGCCCAGCACCGCGGCGCGCAGCCACTGGGAGCTCACTCCGCCGCCGCCGTCGTCGGTGGCTTCCTCCTCCTCCTTTGCCTCCTCCGCCACGGTGAGCTCGGCATCGCCGTTGGTGGCAGCCATGCTCGTGCTCGTCGAGGCGCCAAGTCGAGAAGCGCGTGGAGAACACGAGGCCTACACATCTCAGGTGATTTCTGCGGCTATTTTTATATATGGAGTACAAACAAAGATGAAGCTTAACAAGTTGGATACCTTTTGTCATTGTTTCTTACTCCCTCTCTTCTAAATTAAACAAATCTAATATGTGGTGTAATATGTGAGGTAACATTTGATATATGATATATCCAGCGAAGTGACCGTAACTCAACAAGTTAGATTCTTATTGGTGGAACTAGCATTTATGGCTAATTATTCTTTCAATGTTAGAACAATGAGGTGTCCGTGGTGACTTTGTTAACCTCAATATACGTTGGTCCAGTCTTTCGGAGGTGCTCATAGAAGTAGGGTGTGCGTGTGTTTATAGGGATGAGAGTGCACGTGTTGTGAGCGTCTGCATTTGTACTGTGTTACTATAAAAAAAATATGTTCTATCCAGATTTGTAGATTTGTAATACTAAGATATATGTTATGTTCTATATTAGGTTTGTTTATTTTGTAGCGCGAAGTCATCAGAAGGGTGTGATTTGTCAATGATGCTCCCTAGGAAGCTGAGAAGAGGGCACAGGCTGCTAGTGCTTGCAACCAGGTTGGTAAGAACATCTCTATTATTATGTTTAAAAAGATAATAATAATAATAATAATAATAATAATAATAATAATAATAATAATAATAATAATAATAATAATAATCAACATCTTGTGTGTTGTACACTTCTGTGGCTTTCCTTTTTTACACATCGAGATAGCCAATCGACAGCCATTATCAAAACTACAGCGATGTGAACACCTATGTAGGGTGCAGTAATGTGGTTAGTCGATTAAGAATTTTTAAGATGATCCCATATGTAGAGCATTTTACAAGTACAACAGATTAAGTAGCAGGTTTACAGGTCAGCTACAAGCATATTAATCTATTTCACGGCCCTCAAATTTCGCAGAATTAGCATCGTATTCGAGTTCACAACAATATGAAACACGACACCAATGAATATATGCTAACTGTAATAATATGCATGACGCTTACTCACTAAATTACTCTATAATATTATATGCTCCGTTCTGAGCAAGACGACGGCGAATTCTCATTCAAAATTTTCACAAATCCAACAGCAACCCGCAAGCTAAACATGCAGCCATGCAGGTCATTCCAATTTCCTCCATGTAAGAAAATAAGGCTAAGAAGTTAACAAGAAAGAGAAATTGGACCCAACATACTTAGGATCTTAGGTGCTACTCAGATCACTGCAATCACTAGGCTACATGCCCTTTCACAAGAAGTAATTAAATGATAGAACATGGGGCAAAAGAAACGAGGAAATAATTGTTATTTTTTAAAACCCACATCAATTCCTTACTACCTTAAACTACACACATCCAAACCAGCAAAAAAAAAAGAAAAAAAAGAAAAGAAAAAAGAAGAAGAAGCGGATGTACAGGTACACTAGTATCTGGAACAAGTTACAGGTTACTGTGATTGTTATGCATATAGATTCTTTACCATCCCAATCGATCTTGACCATCCGAATTCTGATCAGATCGACCAGAAATTGGAGGGCATATGTCCTTCATACAAGATCATGATTGATAAGTAATACTAACTGCCAGGGGATTCTTGTTCCTTCTGACAATGCGCCGGGGCTTTGGCTGCAAAAATGTAGCTATGTAGTTGCAGAATGGCGGGATTTGAGATCTCCATACCAGCACATCAAACCCCAAATCACAAGGAATTTTGCCTTCTAGCTCTACTCCTGCTGGTGTTAATCTGGGAATATCACTCTGGAAATGGCCAGCCTCCCTAAGATCATACAACATACAACCTCGATAATTCATGAACGCTACTTCAGCTGTATGAGAAGGGTGGTTCTTCTCAGGAGGATGCTCCTCGAAGATGGATAAGCGCTTTCGTGACATCCTCAAGCTCATCAAGAACCCACTCCAGATTTCAGCACTTGGATTACCCCTTAGTATGTGGCCAAGTATGTTTGCACCAAGAAATGATCCCTGTAGTTCTGTTGCCAGTTGCATTCCTAGAGAAGCCAGCTTTGGATGGTCGTCAGGGTTCATGCTTCCAAAAGAAAGTGCCTTGAAGTAGTACCAGTACATTTCTGGTGACAATCTGTTCAACCTGATTGCTGGTGTTGTTCCCCACTTGGCAATCTCATCTGTTCTTCCTATGATAATGACTTTACTGCCACTTATAGCTGCCTTCTTCATAGATGATCGAAAGATCTTCCATGCTTCCGCATCAACATCCCAACTGAACTCAACTATGCACAAGTATTTCGTTGAAGGCATTAATGAAATGTTTCCAAGATCATCACCATGGAAGAAAACAATATTCAGGAAGCGACCACGAACCCGTTCATCTTGACAAGCATGATGGACAAGGGTTCTCTTCCCAATTCTGTGAGGCCCAATGATAGGAAGGACAGCCAGGTTCTGATCATCATGTAGTATAAAGTCGATTACTTGCTCTTTCTCGACATGGCGACCAAACAAACTCTTTTCCATGAACAGATATGTGCAATAGGGTTGCTGAGGAAGACGAGGGCAACTGGCTAGCAGCACAACAAGCTCCCTCACATCACAAATTTTGGTCTCCAAACTTTCAATAACATTCTTAAGCACAGGTGTGTTCTCTGTACCGAGTGATAACAATGAAGTGCTCCTTGTGCAGGTACTGAACCGAAGGCGCTTGCAACTGACCTGGTGATCTTCATCTACACCCTCCTCTTCAACACACTGGAACTGGAAGGAGTCAAGAACATAATACCCAAGAAACATACCTTCCATGAGACCCTTGAGTTGAAGGATCATTCCTCTGTTCCTGATTTGTCGTGCCTCCGCCTCCTCAACTATGGTGTAGATCCTTAGGAGAACACTCTTCAGCCTCTCCAGGTCCTGCTCTGTTGTCGTGTGCTGCTTCTCAGATTTATGGACCAGGTAGGAGATGAACCGGCTCACAAGATCACTTGCAACTGCAGAGATGAGCATGTCCATTGTGAGCCTAACCCTGGAGGAAATTGTGTAAGCAGAAGTTTGTTACGAAATACTACTATTAAGGTGTTAGGAAGTTGGAAAGTCAAGCAAGGCAGCTGCTGGGACTACGATGAAAGTGATTGAAATTAGTTAGGCACTATTTAACAGTCGTTGTAAGCTCTTTAATTGTAATGTACCCTTCCTTTCTTCATGAAATTGGTTGACCGAATCTTTCGGCCAACCCGGCAAAATATATAACAGATATATTGGTGCATTGAATTGGTCATATGAGGACACAACAGTCAGAAGCATAAAGTACTTCCTCTTTTTCACGATGTAAGACTTTGTAGCATTGCTCACATACATATATATATATATATGTTAATGAATCTAAACACATACATGTCTAGATTCATTAACATCTAAATGAATGTGGGTAATGCTAGAAAGTCTTACATTGTGAAACGGAGGGAGTAGTTTCTTTTCAAAAGGTATACGTAATGTTCATAGTACTAATAGCAATAGTGACTGACTGCATTTACATGTTCAGACTAGTAAGAGCATATACATCATTATTTTCTCTTCTTCTTTTTTTTTAAAAAAAGAAACATCTGTTAGCTACAGTAGCTACTCATGCCTCTATGCCCTGAACTGTCTGAATAACTACAGTAAAGGTGGATAATTGGTGAAAGGTACATACAGCCTATATAACCTAGGAAAGCTATCAGCACTAATTTGCTTCCCTATCTTTTTTTACACCTAAAACAAAATTTTTTTTCTTCATAGCTTATTGTTCTGACCATAAACAGAGGCGTTTTGAGAATGATCTTCAAGTACTACCTCCTCACCAACAGTCTGCAACTTGACGTGCCAAAAAAATACTAATCAAATAACGTACCTACCATAGGCGCCAAAACTGGAGGATCATTCCTCAGGTTGTGATCTGCCATGAGACCTCAACGATGGTGTGGATCTTTAGAAGGATGCTGTTCAGCCTATCAAGATTCCTTCCCCTCCACTGTTGTGTGCCGCTTCTCAAATTTCTGGATCCAAAAGGAGATGAAATGGCTGAAAGATCACTTGCAACTGCAGAGATGAACATATCCTTTGTGATTTGCAAGAGAAAATCAGGAAGAAATTATCTAAACAGAGGTCTATAAAGAAATGCACCATTAGGGTAATTGGAATTTAGAAAGTCAAGCAAGGCAGGCTCTGACCATGATGGAATTGATGAAAGGGACTGAAACTAACTATGCCCAAACAGATATTGTGTAAATTAAATTGTTCATACATAGGTCACATAGTCAGAAACATGAAGTAGTTTCTTTACAAAAGGTTTCCGTCATACATGCAAATACAAGTCAGGGTAACAACTGTAACTGACTGAATTTCACATATCCAAACTAATAGGAACAGATACAACAGAGTTTTTCTTAATAAAAATATACACATTTTAACCTACAGTAGAGACACAAGTGCTACATTGATCTGAACTGTACAAATTATTCCAATAGTAGTCAGAGCAAGCCTTTTAAATTACATTACCGACGATATAATTTCTTAATTTGTAGAGTTCTCCCCCAAATTAAGATTTGAGCTTGTGTTTTCTCAGTGGTAGATGGTATTCCTCTTCCCAACCACACGCCGTGGTTTCTGTTTCTCAAAAGTAGCTATGTAATCACAGTATGGTGGAATGCCAGATTTCCATACCAGCACATCAAACTTCTGTTCGACGGGAATATTACCTCCCAATAACACTTCTCTTGACGTTAGTTTTGGTAGCTGATTTTGTGCAGGGCCAGCGACCCTAAGATCATAAACCAGGCAACCATGAACTTGAGCACCAAGAAAGGCCATCCTGGTGAAATCAACAGGGGTATTTCTTTCAAGAAGATCTTCAGGGTGTACACCAAACCAACACAAGTTCTTTTGTACAAACCCTCTTAAGCTTAATAAGATACTCTGCCAGAATTGAGTGTTAGGATTAGCTCTTAAGAGTTCACCTAGTATATTTGCACCAAGAAATGATCCATTCATCTCAGTAGCTAACTGCATGCCCAGAGATGCTAGCTTTGGATGCTCATCAGGATTCATGCTTCCAAAAGAAAGTGCCTTGAAGTAGTACCAGTACTCTTCTTCAGACAGCCTCTTCATCCTGATGGGTTGGGTTGTCCCAAACTTAGTAACATCATCTGTTCTACCAATGATTACAACCTTAATTTCAGTACTGGGCATATTCTGCAAATATGATTGGAATTTGGTCCATGCTGCCTCATTCACATCACAAATGAACTCAATAACAAACAAATACTTCCCTGGAGAAGCCTTGGAGTTAAGCAACAGCTCTCCCATCTTCAGATCATCTTCTTTAAAGAAAAATATATGGGAGAAGCAGCTCTTCACCCTGTCATCCTGGCAAGCATGCTGCACAAGAGTTTTCTTTCCAATTCTGTGTGGACCAATAATTGGAAGAATGCTGACATATGTATCAGGAAGATCACTGCAAAGCAAGAAGTCGATGACTTTCTCTTTCTCAACACGGCGACCAAACATACACTTATCCATGAACAGATATGTACTGTAAGGCTGGCGAGGTAGGCGAGGGTAGCTGCCTAGGAGCATGACAAACTCTCTCATATCCGCGATCTTAGTTTCTAAATCTTCAACAACACCTTTCAGGTTTGTTGTGCTCCTGCTAGCAAAGGAAATTGGTGTGTGTTTCCTTAGAGCATCAGCAAAACGAAACCGCTTGGCCGAATTCGAAGTAATCAAGGCAGATGAATTTATCTCGTGAATCACCTCATCTTTGATGCTCTCTTCTTCTGGGGGTTGGAAGGTGACCTTGTCGAGAATGTGGTAACCATGGTAGAATCCCTCGATAAGTCCCTTTAGCTGTAGGAGCATCCCCTGGTTTGTGATGTGGCGTCCTTCTGCCTCCTCAACAACAGAGTGCATCCTGAGCAAGATCCGCTGCAACCTTGTACGATCATCTTCCTCGCTTGTGTGGTTGCTGTAATATTGTTGTAGCGAAGAGATGAACCGGCTGATAAGTTCACCTGCCACAGCAGAAATCAGAATCTCCATACCAAGCCAAGCTCTATCAGGACTCAGGAGCAAGTGGTCAAGATGGGATTTTGCATAGTGAGCCAGGATTCTAGAGATGATAAAGAAGGAACGAAGCAGAGAGAAACACGTCTACAAGAAATTTGTGCAGGTATTGAAAGCAATTTACATGAATTTTCTGATCTAGTATTGAAAGCGATTTACATGAATTTACATGAGCAGAGAGAAAGACGTCTACATGAGGTAACTCTTCCTAAACCAGAATTTTCTTCTCAAAAAGTAAGACGAAGGATTCCCACGTTTATGTGTTTCTACCTTCATTACTTTCTACAGAGCCAAAGCCGATTAGTCAACATCAGAAAGCACATAAGATTATCAGACATGAACTTGTAATCACCATGTGAACCATGTGAACTCAAAGTAGATGCACCAATGGATTTTCATGTGAACTCAAAAGTAGATGCACCAATGGATTTTGGGCAGCAGTCCAGATACGAGTGGAATGAAGCTTGAGACTGATTTGACTTGGGGGGCTAGCTGGTACACGCTCCAGTATGCAGTCAAAATTATCACAATAATCTTCAGACAATAAAATTTTAGCAGGTCAAATTTATGCCAGTCACCTAAAACACCATATTTTGTCCGGTCAATTTAATTAGTAAGAATGGAACGGAGAATATTTTACGAGCAATCAACAACGATGGAACTGATGAAAGGGACTGAAATTAAATTAGGCACTAACAGATCGCACTCCTCCTAGTGCTTGCGCAAATAAACACAAGCACAAATTTGTATATGAGAGAGAAAGGAGCGAACCTTGAAGCGAGTGGCCTCCGCCGCAGCAGCAAGCTCACACCACCAACCACCTTCCTCTCCGGCCATCTTCTCCTCCCCACACCACCGACGATCTATCACACTTCCATCTGATTTTTGCGTCGATTTCCTCTTGCTCTATCACACTACTGACACTACTGAGATTGTAAGCGAGCAGTAGAGAAAATTTCGCCTCCGCCTCCGCCGCTGCCCGCGCAGCTGCGGCTGCCGTTCGGCGACCGGCGGCGGCGTGACAGGGCTGACGGGAAACGCATCGCCATCTAAGGTAGGGCCAATTTGTAAAAAAATTAGGGGTTTATATGTAAAACCGAATCAACGTCGCGCTATCGCAGTGTTGCGTAATGCTTTTTTGGGGGAATACGGTAGATGCGTATTTTTTATTAACCGGAGAAAAACAGTTCTTTACATCGAAAAACAAAGAGCAACAGGGGATAGGAGAACCGGAAGAAAGGAGCTAAAGCCTAATCTAGCCACGAAACCTGCAATCTAATAGCATCTCCAACGCTCTCTCTAAATTCGACTCTCCAAATATATATTTGGCCAACTCTCCATTTCATTTGTCAAATCAAATTCGTTGTTTACTCCAATAGCCTCTCCATCCATCCATCCTCTCTACTTTGAGTCTATGACAGCGGGACCTATGCGTCAGCCTCTGTACCCATTCTTCTTCCTCTTTCTCTCACTCCTCCTCTCCCGAATCCACGCCGCCCGGTCAAATCCACGCGGGGATGGAAGCGGATGGCGGCGGCTAGGGATGGCGCAGACGACGTCGGCGGTCGCAGCTGGCTCAGCGACTGGTGTGGACGGCGACGGCTGTTGCGGCCGGCTCAGGAGACGGTGCGGACGGCGACGGTGGTCGCGGCTGGGGACGGCGCGGACGACGACTGCGGTCGCGGCTGGCTCCAGTGCCTCTCTCCTTCGTGCCGTCACCGTTCACGAGCGGCGCCATCGACGCCTTCTTGCTCTAGCCGGGAGAGAGAGATGGGGTGGGGGGAGTGGTGGGGCCCACGAATAGCTAGGCAGAGAGACTCTCTAAGTTTGACCAGTGAGAGGTACAATTTGGCCATTCGGATGGCTTAGCTAACCGGATGGAGAGGCTATTGGAGGATATTTTTTCCTCATATTTGCTAAAATTTAGCTTGGCCAGCCATTTGACCATTCTATTGAAGTTGCTCTAAGGGAGCCTATCACTGCGGGGTTGGCCAAACGCCAAAGCATTGTTTCCTCGGCCATTTCCCTAGCTGTCCAGCTCCTGACCTTCTGGTTGAACACTATGTTGTTGTGTTCTTTCCAAATCGACCACGCCGCCAACACAATGATGGTGTCATAGCCTCGCTGAAGCAGCCTTGCGAGGGCTGGTAGCAGCGGAGGGTGGAGCACCCCTCAGCCAATCACTGCGGCGGGAGAGGAGGATGCACGGGCGCTGGAGTCGACGGAGAGCGAGACGAGGGCAAGAGAGAAGCCGTTGTCGGTGGCGCCGCCGCCGCCACGTCCATCTCCACCTCCGCTCCTCTCCCCGCCCATCGTTAGCCCAGCCCCGTTCCTCATCCGCCGCCGGTTGCCAAGAGAGACGAAAGGGAGTAGTCGCTGACATGTGGGACCCACGTGGGTTCCACGCTGACTCAGCTACCACGTCGGATAAAATCAGGGATAAAACCGCCCAAGAACCTATGATGACCGGTTTTGTATGTTAAGGGAACTAGGCTGTGTTCGCCATTGTATGTTCCCAACCGGAACAGTACGCGTGGAAAACGGAGCGGTCCATTAGCGTGTGATTAATTAAGTATTAGCTATTTATTTAAAAAAATGGATTATATTTGAATTTTAAGTAACTTTCGTATAGAAACTTTGAAAATTTTTGTAAAAAAAATACACTGTTTAGCAGTTTGAAAAGCCTGCGCGTGGAAAACAAGGAAGAGGGGTCGGAAAAGGGTGCCGAAAACAGCCCTAATATATCTGGTTTTTTTTGGTGAGAGACGATTTTGTAATTCGGTAACAAGACGAGGTACTTTTTCAAAAAAAAATCATCCCATCGGACGGCATACAGTTACATCCGCATCGCAGCCCATATTGGGCCGAAATGGGCCGGCCCATATTACGCCGTGAACTCCGCATCGCATCGCTCCGCCTCCCCCTCGTCTCGTTCCCCACTTCCCCTCGAATTTTTTTTATTTTTAATTTTTTTTATTAAAAGTTTTACAAAAATAATTTTTCATTTTGAAAATTGACGGAAGTAGTCGCCTACCGCCCTCTGGGAGGGCGATTTTTAAAAATCGCCATCCCAGAGGGCGGCGAAAATGACGTGGCAGACGGCCGTTCGCTCTCGGGCGACGGCCGTCAACGAAATTTGCAGGCGGCCCCCTTGCCGCCCTCCGCTAGGGCGATTTTGTACTGTGCGGGGGGCCGCCTGCAAATGGGCGGCGAGGGGGCATGGAATTTTGCAGGCGGCCCCCTTGCCGCCCTCCGCTAGGGCGATTTTGTACTGTGTGGGGGGCCGCCTGCAAATGGGCGGCGAGGGGGCATGGAATTTTGCAGGCGGCCCCCTTGCCGCCCTGGGGGAGGGCGATTTTTGCCTCCCCCCTATAAAGCCCAGTCCCCCTTCTCTGAAATTTCATTATATTCACTAAAAATCCAAAAAAAACGAAAGAGAGAGAGGGGAGGGCAGCAGAAGGGGAGCGGCGAAGCCCTGCTGGTTCGCTCACTTCATCACAGGTTTGCTCCCATACATCTTTTGCATTTGTACTAATATGTTATGTTTGAGTATATATGTTGCGTTTTAGTTTTAGTTCCATATATTTTAGCATATCTGTAGCACACAGCACATATGTGTAGATCCAGAGCATAGAATATAATAGTATGAATTGAGACATAGACAGTAGTGTTAATTGTAAGATGTAGTTTAGTTTGATCTGGAGAATGTAACCTACTTTTAGAATTTTGGAGAACAATATTGTAGAGAATGTAACTTAGGGCGTAGTACAGAAATGCGAGGTTAACGCAGTTATTGTTTTCATCAGGCACAATGTCAAATAAGGTCACATTTCAGATAGTTCACGGTGAAGGAAATATTAGATTTGGTCCAGATGGTGTTGATCTGTCAGATTTTGTAATGACATCTAAGGGTATCGATAGGCCTGCGGAGAGAACATTTCAGTCAATTTATAGTTGGTTGTTGAGAGGATTTAGAATAGACCAAGAAGTCTACACAATGTCAGTATCAGTTGTAGTGAGTCGTGCAACAGAAGGTTATTTTTGGGAACTAATGCCGATGGACAGCACTGCTGCTTGGAGACGGTATGTGGAAATGACTTTTGAACGGTCATGGCCCCTTGTTATATTTGTGTCGGTACAAGAGAAAGATATAAATGTTTCAATGCAAACCGAAGATGTAGAGGGTCCTATCAATGCAGGGGATGTTGTTGGACCATCGATGCAAAATGAGGAAAATCAACCAAGGGAGGAGCAGGCCATGGGCATGGCGGATGAGGGGGAGAGAGTCGGTATAATTGTTGATGAAATGGAGAGGGAAGATTCGGATAATGAGGAAGCGGACGACGACGCATCATCCGATGAGGAAGGTGATGTAATGGCCACTGATTGGGCAAATGAGGACTTCTCTGGACTTGTTATATCAGAGGGTGATCATGTACCCTGGGAGTATAAGGAGAACGAGGTAATTGAGGGTGCAAGGTATGCTCATAAGGATGAGATGAAGGAGGCGGTGAAGCATTGGGCAGTTTCCTTGCAGAGAGAGTTTAGGGTGATCAAGTCAACAAATTATGTGTATGAAGTAAGGTGCATGAAGGAAGATTGTCCGTGGCGTGTCCATGCATATAAGGGTAAATGGAATGATTATTGGAAAGTTAGCATTGTGACCGAGCACAAGTGCTACTTATAAGGGGTGGAGAAGTATCACCGAAACATCACTTCAGCTTTTGTGGCAAGTGAGATGTACAGCAGTGTTGTTGGTAACATTGGCTTTGAACCAAAATCAATTATTAGGCACATCGAGAACAAATTCAAGTACACCATAAGCTATGCAAAGGCCTGGAGAGCCAAACAAAAGATTATTGAGATGAGGTATGGCACATTTGAAGCTTCTTATGATAATTTGCCTCGTTTGTTAGCCACCATTGCCCAGAGGAATAATAATACTTACTATGACCTACATACATTTACATCGGTTGATGATCGAACAAAGAGTGTGCTGCAAATAGCCTTTTTCTCATTGGGTGCTTGCATCAATGCTTTTGTGCATTGTCGACCTGTTCTATGCATAGATGGAACTTTTATGACAAGTAAATACCGAGGTCAGATATTGACAGCAATTGGGTGTGATGGGAACAACCAGGTTCTACCTATGGCTTTTGTATTTGTAGAGAGTGAGAACACTGAAAGCTGGTACTGGTTCCTAGAGAGAGTGCACATTGCAGTGGTGCGTATGAGGCCCAACGTTT